TCTTTCTTCTCTCCTTCATGGCAAATGGGAAGACAGAACGTCTGACAACGTTTCTCAGAAGCATATTGAAAATGCTCATGGTTGGGACTATGCTGCGTCCAAACAATTACCTGCCAAAATGGTAATAAGACAAAAAGCGAAAAAAAACCCCATCAGTAGTCAAAAACATAGGAATACCTCAAATCCTGTCAATTTTACAAATCCTGAAGAACAAAAGCTTACTTCTTTATATTCCCAGGAAAACACTACAGTATTTCATTTAACTTTTTTTCCATTGGCTTTAAAAGGGAAATCAAATTGATGTTACTGCTAGAGGAAGCAATCATTAGCTTTGCTCTTTAAAATGACAATAAGATGCATCTATATTTTGCTAAGTTGAGCAACAGTTAACCATGTTCAGCTTTCCCCATTTCAAATCAATCTTGTATGTCAGATTGCAGACAGAAAAAACGGTGATGGGAGTAAGCATTATGCTACTCAGATACCACAAATGATTTCAGAGATGGAGACTTTCACAGAAACAAGAAAACAACAATTTTCTTGTTTGATGTTACAATGAACAGACATTTCCGCTGCTTTTTCAATAAGGCAAAGAAACTCAAGTCATAAGCAAGTCTGTGACAAGCAAAACTCAACTGTGATGTGGCAGCACAAGCAATGCTGCTGGGATACCCTGATGTCAGAGAAAAAGCATATCTCCTTTTAATGTTATATTACAGAGAAGCTCCCATTGCAAATTCCCACCAAGACTATACAGTCACTTACTTAGGCTTAGATTTTTACAAAGATGTGTGCTATACAAGTGCTGTGAACAACTGAAGCTAAAGGCTGCAGAAACTGAAGCACACATGTAACTTCATTCACATTAGTATTCCCATTCATTTCATTGGGCTATCCTCACCAAGTTACGTTATGTATTCCTGCTTAAACAGTGAAGATTTGGGACTAAAAACAAAAACAAAAAGTCACCAACATTTTTCCACCCTCTCCATAGTGATCTTCCTTAAGACAGTCAAACTCTGACTTTCAAAATTTGAAAAGTAAAAAATGATTTCCAAATTCTGTATGTATGTTACTGTATGTACTTGGATTGAAGACAACCCCAAATTGAAGACAAACCTCAAAAACAGGTGCTGCTGCAGGGTCAGGGCCAGAGTCAGAGCTGCAGCAGCCTCCTGCACCTCCCATCTACTCTGTATGCAGATCTAAGATAAAGGGCTTTTTTTCACCCATGCAGATTGGGACAGCTGAAGGGAAACTCAGGACAACACCTCATTTTAGATTCAAGTAAGTGCAGTATTAACATTGCCACCTGAAGTTAAAAAATGCTCACACACACATTTAAAAAACTAACAGCAGTTCCAAAATAAAACCATTTCGCCTGCAACCAAGATTTACTGGACTACGACTCTCTATACAGTTGCCCAGCTTTGCAATACATGCATGCCAGCGTGACAAGTTTCCTGAAACCATCCTCAAAGACAGATGGTTTTAGTTGCTGTGACAGCCACTCCTGCACAAGCCGCGCACATGTTGGCATTGCTCCAACAGAGATGCTGGGCTTATCCTAGCAGCAAACACAGCCTAAATGCTTTAATAAGGCTGCTTTACCTCTCCTGCTTGCCCGGTGCTGAACACACTTGCCTACATAAAAGCCCTTTTGCAGGGAATCTAGATGAATAGGAGATCAGAAGAGAAATCCTTTGCTGAAAAACAAAACAAACAAACATTTGGAAGTTTCGCACGTGCCCATTGGAAAAACCACCGAGCCCTTGGCCCGCTTCCGATGCCAGAAGCGGAGTCTTCCTGGTTGACTTGGCAGCCAACGAGGAGCACGCTCGCGCCCTAAGCATGGCCGGAGAGGCTCGCGCGGAACCCGGATGAATGCAGCGTACGAGCCCCAGCGGCCCAGCCCTCTGTGACGTCACGGAGCCCCTGGAACGCGGTGCCCCCGGAGCCGGGCGGGGTACGGGCCTCACTGCCCCGCTACCCGCAGCTAAATGCGCTGCCGCCAGCCCGCCGTGGGGACTGGTTCTGGGGTGGGAGACAGGAGAGACGCAGTACTACTTGCCTCCCGCCGGACCCGGACCCGGACCCGGAACCAGCGCCCTCGCTGGACTCTGGCCGACCGCAGTTCCGGTCCTGACCGGAACAATACCGGCGACACACCCGCGCCTTTCGTGACAAGCCGAAGACCGCGGGCTGTGGAGAATCTAAGCCTTACATTGCATTACAGCTAATCAAAGGCCAGGCTCTGCGCATGCGTGGCGGGAGCCGAGAAGTCGAGCGGCTCCTACGGGTCTGGTGCGTCCGTACTCTTCCGGTCCTCCGGGCCCAGCGGCTGCGGACTGAGGTTCCTCCCTTCTTTCCTCCCCACCCCAGGCCCTGCGCGGCCTCCTTGCGGCCCGGCCAGCACGGGCGGGGGGGAGCTCAGAGGCTGGACCTGGCTGGTGATGCGAAGCCAGGCACAGACGGGCTCCATCCAGCCGCCCAAGTCAAGGCCTGGTGCTGTGGGGGGAAGGGGCCAGCCCCAAGCTGGCTGTGCAGGGGGTGGGCAAAGGGCATGGCGGGGGTTGGCCCTGCCACACAGGGTTCGAGGCATGGCAGCTGGGGAAGCTGGTGGGATTAGCTGCCACTGCTCCCCTGCCACCAGATTTCCCCGGGGCTGGATCTGGCCCACGGGCCAGAGGTTGAGCACCCCTGGTCTAGATGTACTGACTCGTATAAGCCTTGGTGCAGTGGGGGGATGGCTTAGTGCAGGCTCTGGGAGTATAATAAAAATAATTGGCTAAAATGAAGAAGACACGAAACAGTGACTCTCAGGGAAAAAAATAGCCTCCTCACAGTGAGGTATATTATGACGTAGAACAATTTGCCAAAGGAAGAAGTGTCAGAAGCCACATGGAATTGGTTATTTAAGAGTAGACAACGCTCTAGAAGGGAATAATCCTTGCAAGGTGATGAACTGGGCAGGGGTGGCCAACCTGCAGCACAGGTGGCATGGGCAGCTTCTGTGTGAGGCGCACGGCTGACTTGGGACGGGATAAGCAGCACAGTGGTAGATAGGGCAAAAAGTAGGGGTACACCAATAAAGGTTTTCTTGGCCAATACCAATAGCCGATTATTCACCAGGCATATTGGCTTCTACTGATTCAAAAACTGATTTACATGAGCACAGCTGGGCAGTGTGGAGATCAGCTCCCTGCAGATAAGTCTGTGGAGGGGAAGGGGCAGGTAGGGCCTGGGGCAGGTGCTGGGGCTGGGGCTGCTTAGCGCAGTGAATGGGACTCAGGGCCAGCCAGGGTGGGGAGCAGGATGGAGCCACTGGCAGCTTGTCCAGGGGATCAACGTCCTAGAGCTTAAAAATGGCAGTGGGGGTACTTGAACTAAAGTTTATCAAACAAGCTTTAGTTCAAGTGCTGACACCACCATTTTTAAGCATAGGAATGCTTTTAGGAGCCAAGCGGAGCGAGGGTGGAGGTGGGCTGCCCATTGCAGACTTGGGGCTCTCTGCCCTGCTGCCTTTGCCCCAGTTGCCATGCGCTGGCCATGCATCTCCTGCATGCTTGGCAGCGGGAAGCACAACTCGCCACTGCCACCAGAAAAGCAGGGGACATGCAACCAGCGCATGGATCCCGGGGTGAAGGCAGCAGGGTAGAGAGCCCTGAGCCTGCAGCCTGCTTTCCCCACACACAAATCTGGGGGGCACACGCCCCCCATGCCTCCCCCAGGTGGTGCGCGCGTCAGAGAGCCAACCACCTTCCCTGTGTCCGCTGGACAAGGTGCTCGCAGCTCTGTCCCGCTCCGTGCCCCAGCCCTGTGGCCCCATTCACCGCCCTGGCTGGGCAGCTCCTCCGGCCCCTGCTCCACTCCCTCCCTCCCTCCCTATGGGGGCCTTGATCTGCCTCCCCCCTGCCCCTTCCCCTCCATAGACTTACCTGCAGGGCGCTGCTCTCCATGCTGCCCAACTGCATTCCTGGCCATGTGCATGCTGCGGCTGTGCACATGCACACTCCGTCTGGGGTCCACAGCCAGAAGGAATATTATATTTATTGGAGACATAACCGGCTACACCGGCCAAAAAAGCTGGTAGCTGATAATGTTAATTTTCCTTTTATCGGTGCCAATCTGACATGGCACCGATATATCAGTGCACTTCTAATAGGACGCATAAAGGAAAGCAGCAAATCAGGCAGGGAGCACAGACCAGGGAGAAAGCAGAGCAGCATAATAAGCAGAGGAAAGTGATCAGAGTTGCACTTGGGAGGGTGCAGAGCTAGTTTGTGGCATGCCTGCAAAAAAGGTTGGCCTTTAATGGGCTAGGGAATCTAAAAGGGTTTTTCTTATGTTGCAAACTTTTATCATTTGGTGGAGGTCTTCATTTGACATGAACTGACACAGCTTTCCACAAAGATTGGGACTGTGAATGTAAAATGTGTGTCCTGTGGCAGGTTTCTTGAGTGCAACATATGTTTAGTACCAAGCAACATATATGTTCTTCAGTGGGGCTTATCCATACCTTATTAATTTTTTTTTTTTTATGTGACTAGACTAGTCAAATTCAATGACAAACTTCTACTTCTGCTACTGTCTTAGACCTGCTTTTTTCCCCTGACTGCTTACAACTATCCTTTTCTTTCCCATATTTTTGTCAGTTATTTCCAGCATTTCTTTTGCAAATATCTTCTTTGACATTAGTTCTGGCTTTAAGTAGTTTGAAAATTGCTTATCATTATAGCAGCATGTATGTGCATAGCTATACACAAGGTAGACAGATAGTACGATAAACAGGACTGAAAAGGTTTACAGGCAGCCCCCGCTTAACGCGGTTTCGATTAGCGCTATTTCGCTATAGCACTCACTTAAAATTGATACCAGGTTTCATGAGTGTTCAGCGAGTTTCACTATAGTGCTCATTGGAATTCTGGCGGGAAGGCAGAGAAGCAGTGGTGGTGGTGGCGGCAGCAAGTGTGGTGAGTGGCAGCGAGTGGGGACTGGGGGTGAGCATGGTGGGGTGGGGAGAAGCCAGGCATGACTGCTAAATACAGACTGGTGGGACGGTGGAGCATCCCATGGGAGGGGATGTGGTTTTGCAGCCAGCCGGGACCGGGGTGCAGTTTACAGCCGGCCGGGCACATAGCAGGGACACTGCAAATCCCCCTTGCTCCCGGCCGGCTGCAAATATCCACCCCGCTCCTGTGGCATGCTTCACCACCTGAGTTCACCAGCTGAAGCAGCGGCGGTGGTGAGGAGTGCAGAGCTGGTGCCCAGGGCCAAGCAGGGGCCTGCACCCAGGGTGGGGCAGCAGGAGTGCAGGGCCCAGGGCCAGGGCCAGTAGGTGTCCATGCCCAGAGCAGGGCAGCAGGAGTGCCGGGGCCCAGGCTGGCACGGTGGGCAGGTGGGTAGAGGCGGTGGTGATGAGAAGTGGTGAGTGGGGGGGCAGGCATCAGTGCAGGGATTGTATTGGTGCCCAGGGCCAGAGCTGGCAGAGGCCCAGGGTAAGGCAGCAGGAAGGCAGACCCAGGCTGGCACATGGGACTGGAGTGGCCAATGGGCTAATGGGGAGCGGCAGCAGCAGCGGCAAGAAGCCGCGGTAACAAATTATCTATATTTACATTAATTCCTATAGGCAAATGGGTTTCGCCTACTGCGGTTTTGCTTAGCGTTCGGGTTCTCTGGAACCATTTAAGAGCGCTAAGTGGACGTTGCCTGTACTGTACAAGGTGGGAGCGCATCTTTAGCTTACACATGTAATTATTTCTAGCACTTGGAGGAGTAAGTTTTTCCCTGCTCCTTTAAAGAAATCCTAAGAAGTTGGGCTGCCTAATGCAAACCATTCTTCTCTTGTATACTTCATTTCCCCCTCTACCCATCATTAATGTGACAGAGCCACACAACTGCTTTATCCTTGATGCTTGCCAGGTCCTCAACCTGGGTGTGCTGCACAGTCTGTGGTGCATCAACATACTCGCATATTGGACTGTCCTTGAAGCCAATCTTATAGAGTGTGGCTTTAAAGCACCCAGCAAACCATTAAACCATTAAAGATGGGGCATTGTCTAGACAAGCATATTTTTTGTGTATTGTTTGTGGGAAGGTAGCTTTTCCAATTGACAGTCTTTTTTTAAATATTTAGATACAGGACTTGATTTCCGGAGCCATTTTCAAGCAAAATGAGTTTTCTGCTGCCAAAACTGACTAGTAAAAAAGAAGTGGATCAAGCAATAAAAAGTGTAGCAGAAAAAGTTTTGGTTCTTCGATTTGGGAGAGATGAGGATCCTGTTTGTCTGCAACTGGATGATATTGTAAGTGCGCTTGTAAAAAGAACTTGTTTTTGATGCTATGGTGAATATCACATACACATTTGGTCCAACAGAATTAAACAGTGTGTTAAAATAAAATACCCTAAGAACCACATTGAACTTAAATGTAATTATTATCATAGCGATGAAGTGGAACCAATATAATGCAAATTGGAATTAATATCTAGCTATTTAAGACTAGACAAAGCATTAAAAGAATGTCCTTCACTCTTCTAATAGGGATGATGCAACACATGGCGTTGTTTGCAAATAACTTGAAAATGAAAAGTTATTTTCAAACATCTATATATAATCTTTAGTTTGTGACACTTACTTAATTTTTTCCCAGTGTAGCTGCATGCAGATAAAATTAGTTTACTCATTGGTGGCCATACAGGAAGTGGTGCACTTTGTTTTAGAAATCAGACGTTTCTGTTTCCAGGTTTCATGCTAAAATGCTAGATCATGCTGCTCATGCATGAAACTAAGTGGACTAATATTTTGTCAGTAATAACAAAAGCTTGGTATGGAAGAAGGCATATGTTCAAAGCAACAATCCAAGAAGAGTCAAATATGAATTAATTATCAAGTATATTTTTAAGGATAGAACCCTGTCTTTCCCCAATTATTTTCTGTCTTTTTTAAACAGGAGAATCATGAATTACAGTTGTGCTTAAAAGCAGGCCATGTTTTACCTTCTTGTGTTTCAGAATCTTTTTTACCACTTGTCTTTTTCCAATCTCAATAGCTTGCAAAAACATCTCATGACCTAAGTAAAATGGCAACCATTTACCTGGTGGATGTGAACGAGGTACCAGTGTACACCCAGTATTTTGACATCAGTTATATTCCATCTACTGTTTTTTTCTTCAATGGACAGCACATGAAAGTGGATTATGGGTATGCTGGCTTGCATATTGCCATCTCATGTGTAACATAATTAGCTCATTCTCTGCATGTGCTAGCTTACTACATTTATAATTTCATTTTGCTAGCAACAGTACCATGCAGGATCAAAGAGGCCAGGAATGAATAGGGCAGACCACCCCTTCCATTTTGAAAGACCTCCTCACATTTATCATTCTGCAGCAAATTCTCTGATATACTCTGCTTATGAAATTGTCTGATATACTTTCTTTATGAAATGTGGTTTGTGATTCTGCACACATTAGCATTAGACTCTTGGCCATTACACAGCATTGTTCTAAATTTTAGAGGTCTTTGAAGTCGCCTCGTCTCTTCATTCATATGTGTCATACAAGAGTAGTTCAAGCCATAGGTGTGACTAAGGATGTATACACATGGCTTCTTTACAACAGAATACATAGAACTCACTCTGCAATGAAGATGGTATGGATACACAGCATGCAGCCTTACACTGGTATAATTCATTCCACTTAAAAGGACCCCTCAGAAAGTGAGGAGTAAGGAAATGCTGGCATATGCTACACTAGCAAATTGGACTGTGTCCACTCCTCTCGTCAGTTTTAATGCAAGTCAGCTCCCACCACCTACTGGCTAGACAATATAATAGTGTCTTCTGAGAGCAGCCAATTCAGGGGAGTTGTGTGTCTGCTCCTTGCTACGGTGGAGATTTACTGCAGAATAAAATTACCCTGTAATAATCCTGTTGTGTGGCTTCACCTTAAATCAAAATCCTTCATGTATATATGTTTGCTTGTCTTTAAAAAGTTCTTCATTAATTTTAACAGACATTTTTGTTTTCATTTATCTTTATCTGCTTCATAGGTCTCCAGATCACACTAAATTTGTGGGGAGCTTCAGAACAAAGCAAGACTTTATAGACCTGATTGAAGTGATTTATCGTGGAGCAATGCGTGGAAAACTTATTGTACAGAGCCCTATTGATCGTAGGAATATTCCCAAATATGATCTTCTCTATCAAGGAATTTGACATGACTGCAGATGGCTAAACATTGAAACTGCAACAGTTGTGGACAGTTTTCTTAAAATATTTCCCACGTTTGATACCACAGGACAGAAAAAAGAACTTTTAAAAGCTTGTGGTTTCTTGTTGAAGATCTTATTGGTCATCTGTTGAAGACAGACAATCTGTCATTTAATATTGTCCTTTAAATAAAGTTGTGTGCTTTATTTATATGAGTAGTGCCCATAGTCTTTCCTGTAAAAGCACAATATATGGCAGTTATGAGATGGTGACAGGTTATGTACTTTCAGGGTGTGGCCATCTCACCCTGTTGATTAGAGAATAGTTTGCATTAAAGCATGATTATATATTGTTTTAGAATTTTGACACCATTTTACTTAAGAACAGCCTCTCTCTCATTCCTTGAAAGTGCTTCCATTTTACACATTGCACTGTCTTCTTTTTTCAAAGTAAATTAATAAATAGATCCCTATTTTAATAAATAGTCCCTTGATGCAGTAGGAGTCCTTTGATGCAGAAGTCAAATGGACTGAGCAAAAGTTTAAAAGGGAAAGTCTTACTCTCTTTTAAGACTAAGTAGCAATATTATTTTACATATGTGGTTCCTGTTTAACTAGAATAAAGTATTTTTCACAATCATTCAGTCTGAAAGGAGATGCATAATAGAACAAATTCTGTACTCAAGTAATCTCAGTGGTTAACCCTGGGGATTAATTTGATCCAACTATATTATATTTAGAGCATCTCATCCCTGACTGGAGGAGAGGAGCAGTGTATGGTTTGGTGAAGTCTCCTTAGGCTCAGGAAAAATGTACCAAGGGGAGAGGTGAAAGCTCCAGTGTGAGACTTTCAAAACAAGAAAGGGCAAAATACTGGTGAATACATAATAAGCAGCAGCCCTGCACTGGCAGAGCTATGCGCAGGCTGACACAAACATACAGGTTATTAGCATTAATCCCTTATGCCAAATTGCCCTTGACAGTAAAACTGTATATATACTCAAGGAAACCTGAGTTGTTAATAGTAAAGTGTAATTAGATCAGTGTGCATCAATATAAACTTCCAAAAACAATGTAAAGAGAACCAGATATACCTTAAGATCTTTACTCTGCACCCTTTAAATTTTGGAACAGTTTACAGGCATCCATTTAAAAAGCACAATTCATTTTTCTGAAAAGAGTAACATCAACCATTTTCTAATACAATGTTCTCTGCCTGGCAGGGGGGGAAGCAGGGAATCAGAAAAGAAAGGTTCAGAAATTCAATACCAAAACTGCTACAATGAGACCTTTTGTTTCAAATTTTCAGAGCTAGGCATGGGATGAGGGTTATGAAAATTAATTCAACATCCTCTTATTTACTGCATCTCTTACTTGACGTGCTCCTTGTTTTAATAGGTGAACGAGGGGAAGCTACCATGGTCTTTGCTTTCAGTGTGCTCTTCAGGTACTTGAAGATGGCCTGTAAGCTGTAGGAGGGAGCTAAGGTGTATTTTTCAGTCCCCGCAGAGACTTTAGGACAATCCACTTTAACAAGGGAACCTGTGGGCCTATCTAAATGTTTACTGTTTGTTACCCATTCACGACAGTGCTTCTGTATCCATTCTTGCACTTCTGGATTGCTTCCCACCTGGTGGTGTGTGTGGTGCATGGAGTCAATAAAGGCCACAGAATACACTTTATTCATCACCTCCCACTTCCTCTGCATGAGTAAATTGATGAAAACCAAGCCTCCATAGCCATGAGCAATGAAGGCTACATTCTTGGCTAAACTCTTGGATGAAATAAAATGATCCCAGACATAGATGGTATGTTCTTCAGGGCTGCTGCTGCATCTCTTTGGGATCTGCCCCATGGATTGGCCATTGAACAGTGATTCTCCCTTAGTTAAGAAACTCAAGCGTTCCTCCTCCATCTTCATATCAATAAAATTGTCATTGGGATTTAATACAATAACTCCCCCATAGTCATGGAGAGCCATTTGGATGAATGGTATTTGAGTTCCATGCTCCAGGCCCTCATGGATTATGGTCTTCTGACCCCATTGCCCAGCCCGAAAGACTCCATGATCTTGCAGAAGGACAACTAGGCTTGAGGGATTTGTTAATGCTTTCTCACTCATGAAAAAGAAACTCCTGGGTTCGTTCTCTCTAGCATCTATTGGAACATGGACTCTCTGCAGCTTGCATGCTCTTTCCAGGAGTTGATAAACATACTGTTCAATGAGATGTCCTAATATCTGATAGCGTTTATGATTGTTCTCATGTGCGTTTTTGTAGTAATTAAAGACAAAGGGTTCATTGGTATCTAGATGCCTCAGTTCACCTTTTATGTTGAAGCTGTACTTCAGATGTTCTGGGCACTCTAACCCCTCTGCTAGTTTCCTGAAGCTTAGTTCTTCCCCATTTCCAGCCACTGCAAATAAAGTTGGTAATGTCAGTATGACAGTCAGCTTGGTTTTTTTTAGTTTTTTTAAAACATGATTGGTTAAGCCACTGGTTCTCAAATTGTGACGTAGACTATCTGTAGAACCCAGCCTGCTTGCTGATAGTTTCCAAAGAGCTGGCTAGTCACATAGTCTTCGCTAAATTACCTCATGAGCAGGGATCCTGATTTTCTCTGATAAAAAAATCACCAATTTTCAGATTAAAAATAGTAACCCAAAATCCACATTTTTCCATGATTAAAATCAAATACCACTTTATATATAAATGGTGTTTTATTTTAATCATGGAAAAATGTGGATTTTGGGTTACTTTTTTTAATCTGAAAATTGGGGATTTTTTTATCAGAGAAAACTAGGATCCCTGCTTATGAGCAGATTCCATGTTCAAGCTATGGGATCAAGAATGTGAGAGCTAGCACATGGGAACAAGGAGGCAGAAGATTGACACGATAATCTTTCTTCCAAGACTAGTTTGCCCTTAGAACAAGTTTCAGAACACCTGCTTTAGAAAAGGGGGTACATTTGCAGCTATGTTTATTGTAACATCAAAATTGTAGCAAAGTGTGCACTGTACTTTTAGGTTTTACAGAAAACTCAGTTTCTAACCTTAGTACTCCCTCCCATTTCTGTGTTCATCTCTTCCCTCATCCTCCTTAACCACGTTGTAGGCATAGGTGGGATAGTGCAAAACTAGCCCTTGGTGTAACTCTGGCCCAACTTGCACAAGAGTTTCTGGGTTAGCAGCAGGGAGAGCTGCTAACATAGAACTCCAATGATCAGAGGCCATTTTTTTTAGCATTACCTGTTCTCATATATCAATTCATTTACACTTCAGTCAACAGGTAGAATGAAGCCAGGGTACTGAAGCCAAAACTGCTCAAGGCAACATATGTGGGTTTCCATTTTCCTTACTGGGTACAATAATTAAAACTTTAAAGGTATACTAACATGTGTTCAGATGATGCTAAAAACTACTTTACAGTTTAATATTTCTAATAAGATAGAGCTGATAAATACAACCGGAAAGGGTTAGTAAATTGGTCTGAAAAAGACATGGGACTTGGCCCTGCTTCTTCTGAAAACTATATGAAACAGCACTATGGTTCAGCACTATGCTTAGCAAATGGAAGACTGGCTAAAAGCTTAGAATTCTAAAATCGAATCCTCCTGTTTTGTGAAAAGGTGAGGAATAGGAGTTTCCTCTTCCTTGCATGTCTTTTTTCATCCTCTCAGCCTCCTTCCCCTCCAAAAATATATTACTCTCTCACAAATAATAAATCTTACTATAAAAACAATCTTAAAGCAGTAGTTGGGATCCAAGATATAAGCCATAGTCTTTAGTTTAGAAAGAACACGTGCTGTGGCTCTTATCTCAGAAGCATTTGAAAACAGAAGTGGCTTCCATGTGACTTGCAGAAGGAGAGCATGTCATTTAGCTCCTTCATTGTGGAAGAAAGAGTCCCCCGTTTTGCCTTTTCCTTCACTCTGGCTTGTTTTACCTGTTAGAAATCTAGGCCACAATACTGTAAACATGTATGTGTATGCTTAACTTTACTACTGAGAGTAAGGGAAATGGTCCTTCAAGGTCCACACCCTTCCTTCTTTTCATACATATACGGGTGGCAGACAGGGTTCAGAGCAGATCAGGTGAGGTGTAAACCACTCCTTGCTTTTCCTGCTAGTATCTGGGGCAGAGGCAGCGCAGGGAAAATGGAAAACAGGTGGCTGTCTCTGATTCAGTCTATGGGAAAATGGGCAAAGAGAACTGATGAGCATTTCCTGAGATAGGAGGACATCTGAAAGGCAGTGCATAGAGTGTATCACTTAAGTGAAAACAACTTACACCAGGACCAGAAAACATTTGGTAGAGCTAGAGTTGCAAATATGGATGTCTCTCTTCCCAAGGCATGTTACAAGAGTGAAACAGGCTCAGTTGAGAGAAAAAAATATAATTGTCAAGGGAAGAATCAGCATAATAAGGGCACCCCATTGCATCTGAAAGTGGAAAGAAGGTGACTTGCAAACTGCTTGTCCAAACAAAACATCTACAAGATCAGAGCTTACTAGTGTACACTGGCCCCTCTTGGACTGTTCCGGACTAGATTATTTTTAATTTCCAAAACAAACTGAGAAAATACATATTAAGCCCTTGCAGATGTAACACCTTAAGTCTATACTTACATCCATTTTTTCTTTATGGCACAGGGAAGGGCTTCTGGAGATTTCATTCAGCTCTGCTTTGGGGATCTGCTTTTCTGGTTTAAACAGTAAAATATAAATAAGGTTTTAAGTTGGGAGAGGCCTGTCTCCCTATCCTCTACTACAATGATATCCAAGGTTTCAGAACAATTTACAGTACTCCTTCACATACAGGGTGGATTAAAATCAACAATTTAAAATAAATAAACACAAATCAGATTTTTATTTAAATCAGATTTTTTTGATTTAATCGTATCTTGCTGTTTTTCTTAAGTTTTTTTTTTTTAAAGGCAAACCCTATATATAGTTTTAAGATATGGTAATGCTCAAAGATATCAGCATGAAATAGGGATTATAACTTCTAATGATATACTATTTGAGACAATATATTCATATAACCTTTTTAGAAAAAGTTTTATAAATAGGTCACAACAGGCCATGGATTATATTAGGGGCCCAATCTTATGGGGTCCCCAGATGCTCCTCTATAGATTAGTAAAGATTGAAGAAAACCATTCTACCCAATGGGGCTCAGTGTGCTCTAGAAGATCCCATTAAGCATTTCAGTCATGCTTAGTTTCAGTTCTCAAACTGTGGATTTGTGTCTCCAGAGAGAATATCCTTGTTAACAGCAGTATATGGAGCTGAGAAAGAACAGACCTGATTACCTACCCATCAGCCCTCTTGTCTCTCTGCAAATTTGTGTACAGTCAAGCCCTTACCTCTCTCTACAAGTGTAGAGTTTCAAGAAGTTAAATAAAGAGAGGATTGTTGGGGGCAGAGTAGATCTGGGCAAAGAGGAGGAGTCTGGAGATAAATGCAAGGAGGGAGGGGCAGTAGAAACGAAACAGAAACATTTTGAGCAGAACTTCGTTGAAATTGCAAAATACTTTGGTAACAACCACTTTGCAGCAGCTGCACTGAAGAAAGCAGGAGGAACCAAATGAACTCTCCCACAAGACATATGATGAAACTCAGTATTGGACTGTTTTGAGCAATATATTGAGAACTGGCCTAATCTGATGACAATTTGTGAGCAATATCGTGATGAAAGAGATGGAATTATCATAGCCAAAGTTCTCAACACTGGGTTAAAGAGAAATGTAGAACGTAAGCTGACTATCCTGAAGCCTATTTCCATAGCCTTGAACAAAGGTTATATCAAACAACAAGACTGCACTTTTTGTAGAAACCAATGATTAAATCGAGGCTTCCTGACCAGCAATTTAAATCAATTTAAGTTAAATCCACCCTGATCACATAAGACAGTCTTTGATGAATAGTAAATAATGGAGGTGCACTGATACATCAGTGCAATATCGGATTGGTACTGATATAAAGAAAATTGGCCGTACAAGCAATCCTTGCACTTACAGCGGGTTATGTTCTTGGAAATGGCACTGTAAGTCGAAACGATGCAAGTCGAATCTGATTTTCCCATACAAACAATGTTATAATAGGGGGTTACGTTCCTGACCAAGGACCTGATGCCCAACTTTTTATAGAAATGACCATAAACATATTTAAATCAACTATTTAATCAACTATAAGTAATTTAATCAGAAAGCCATGGGCCACACACAATCAACTGATAGAACTGGAAGGGAGGCACTGGAGCCGGCATGGGACACTTACCAAAGGTAAGCTCCTCAGTCCTCACATGGGGCAGGCAGCGGCTCCTCCCCGAGGCGAGGCAAGGCAAGGGCAGGGATGCAGGCTCCACTGGCTCCAGGGAACTGCTCTGCTCCCCAGCCCTGACGCCATGTGCCACCTCACTCCCAGAGGCATGGCGAGGTGGGGATGAGGGCCAGGGGCTGGTGCGGGCTCCACCGGCTCCGGAGAACTGCTTGGCCTGCTCCACCGGCTCCGGGGAACTGCTCTGCTCCCCAGCCCTGACGCCATGTGCCTCCTCACTCCCCGAGGTGATGCAGGGGTGTGGAGCAGTTCCCTGGAGCTGTTGGAGCCCATACCAGTCCCCATCCCCACCTCGCCATGCTTCTGGGAGTGAGGAGGCACGTGGCATCAGGGGTGGGAAGCAGAGTAGTTCCCCGGCACCAGCTCCCAGCTCCAGCCCCCGTCCCTTTCTCACCTCCAGGAGCACCTGGCCTTGGGGAGGGGACGCTGCCTATGCTTACCTCCAGTAACTGTCCTGCGCCAGCCCCGGTGCCTCTGCTGTTGCCTGCTGTAAGTGTGAGGATCTGGCACTGTAAGTAATGACGGGTGTAAATGGCAGAGCGCTGCAAGTGCAAATCGCCGTAGATCGAAATGCCGTAAGTCGAAGACTGCCTATATCAGAAACCAGGCTGATAATTTGGCCAATAAATGCCATGCCTGCACACAGCCGAAGCGCAGTACTCAGACAGTGAGGAGCACAGATCGGCACTGTGGAGAGCTGCATGCACAGCTCTCCAAACAGTGTAGTGGAAGGGGCAGATCAACACCCCCTGTGGTGAGGGGCGAGTAGGGAGTAAGGTCAGGTGCAGGGGCAGGCGCTGCCCAGCCGGGGTGGGGCATAGGATGGAGCCGCAGCTCATGGTGGGGGGTCAGCTCCCCCCGGTGAGCACACCTTGGGAGAGGATGGGGGGCGTATGTGCCCCTTGGATCTCTGGGGTGGGGTGGGCTGCAGCTGCGGGCTGGAGTCAGGGCTATGCTGGGCGGGTGTCAGTGCTGGGAGTGGGGCTATGGTGAAATTTGGGGTGGCTGCAGCCCCCTCTGTAGCCCCCACCCTGAGCCCAGCCCCTGCCGAGAAGAGCCCAGCGCAGCTGTGGCTCCAGCCTGCCCGCCTCGCCTTGTGCAGCTCTGGGGGCACACACCTCCCCCACAGCCTGTGCCCTCCTGGGGTACAAGCAGCAACACAAGCTGCCTTCCCCCCCACCCTGATGAGCTGCGGCTCTGTCCTGCACCTGCCCCGCTCCGGCTGGGCAGTGCCTCTCCCTGCCCCTACCCCCCCTCACCTCAGGGGGTATTGATCTGCGCCCCCCATGCCCCTTCCACCTCAACGGACTTGCGAGCTGCACGCAGCTGTATTGGAAATCAGATCAGTATCGGTCAATATGCCTCCTTAAAAATTAGCTATCGGTATCAGCCCCCAAAAATCCCTGTTGATGCACCCCTAGTAAATAAAAAAAATTATACACCTATTAGGCAGGAAAAAGGGATTTTTTCACAGCTATATTGTCTTTAGATTTTTAAAAAAGGCATTTATAGGTGGCTTTAGATGCAGTCTTGTGATGAATTGAGTCCTTTGCGGTGGTGTTAAATTCTGAAAATGGTGAGCTACTGCTGCATAGGCTGGACTGTGCTGTGAATAAACAGGACTGCAGCATGTGGTACCTTTTCTAAGTGCTATGTACGTCTATGTACAAAAAGGCATATTTGAACTGAAAATTAACCATTCCCCTTCAGATTTAACAGGCTCAACTGTAAGCCCTGCCTGCTGGGAAGCGTCTTCCCGTGCTTGTAAAATGTTTAAATGCTCGGGCACTACTGCCACCAAATAGACAATGCCTCCGTTACCAGGTTCGCTATATGACTGAACGTTACCTCATGGCTTCATCTCACAAAGCATGTCATCGTCAAAAATGCAAACCTTGGCTTCTGGGGTTTGAACAGACCGCTGAAATCTTTCAAGGAAAGGAAAGCAGCGTTATTTCAGGTTTCCAAATCAACACGTCAGCACCTCCCTGGAGGTCTAGAAAATGATGCCTGAAGGCCAGTGTGTTAGGATGCAGGCATCTAGTTCAGGGGGTGACTGCCAAGGGCCACCTGAACTCCTATTCTCACTCCCCAATCTGGGCAAGGAGACATGGCTTGGACTCAGGAATGGGCACTGTCCAGGGTGCTCTGCTCGCTGTCCCCACTCAGCGCGCTCATCAGCACGAACCTACCACCTTTCCCCGGTTTATTTTGTCCGGAGGAATACGCCTTATGCCCTCAGCAGCCTCCTTTTAAAGGAAGCCTTGTTATTTCACCTGGTGGGCCTAGGCCCACACATCCCCAGCAGTGTCACAAACAGGCCTTGCAGGCAGCAGGGCAGCAATTCTCAACATCTTTTTTTTAATGTTTCTATCTGGAGACCCACTAAGTGGCCCGGGCTAGATTCAGGCCCCTCTCCGAGAAGGCCACCTTTGGTTTGGGACGCCAGGAAAATACCAGCGCGACTCGTGTGGCAGAGAGCCCAGGAACCCCCCCCACCCCGCCCCGGGCCGCCGAGGGCTTTCCAGAGCCTGTCAAAGTCTCCGCGTTTC